AGACGGGCCTGTATATGTGCTTTCTTGAGCAGGGGGACCTTGCGGGCGCTGCAGTATTTCAGTCCTTCACGGCGTAGTGTGTTACCAATTGTTTTCTTGGTGACTATGGTACCAGCTGCCTTGAGATCATTGACAAGATCCTCCCGTGTAGTTCTGGGCTGATTCCTCACCGTTCTCATGATCATTGCAACTCCACGAGGTGAGATCTTGCATGGAGCCCCAGGCCGAGGGAGATTGACAGTTCTTTTGTCTTTCTTCCATTTGCGAATAATCGCACCAACTGTTGTCACCTTCTTACCAAGCTGCTTGCCGATGGTCTTGTAGCCCATTCCAGCCTTGTGTAGGTCTACAATCTTGTCCCTGACATCCTTGGAGAGCTCTTTGGTCTTGGCCATGGTGGAGAGTTTGGAATCTGATTGATTGATTGCTTCTGTGGACAGGTGTCTTTTTATACAGGTAACAAACTGAGATTAGGAGCACTCCCTTTAAGAGTGTGCTCCTAATCTCAGCTCGTTACCTGTATAAAAGACACCTGGGAGCCAGAAATCTTTCTGATTGAGAGGGGGTCATACTTATTTCCCTCATTAAAATGCAAATCAATGTATAACATTTTTGACATGCATTTTTCTGGATTTTTTTGTTATTCTGTCGCTCACTGTTCAAATAAACCTACCATTAAAATTATAGACTGATCATGTCTTTGTCAGTGGGCAAACGTACAAAATCAGCAGGGGATCAAATACTTTTTTCCCTCTCTAGTGATTTTAATAACACTATTAGCCTCATTTTAATATAGATTAGGGACTCCCAAACTTTACCCTTGAACTCTAACACCCACCAGCTGTCATCCTCTCTGCAGAGGAGGTGTGTTTGCAGGAGGATTAATGTGATGGGGTGACATGACAGTGGTTGTGCATTTCAGGGTTGCCAAGACAGGCTTGATCTCCGTCATTATTTGCCAGTGATCGTCTGGGAGCGCGAGAGGCCTTGATGGTCCGGTCGGCTGTCACTGTCCACCTCTGATCCACCAACCTCTCAAACATGTCACAGACCGCGTTCCAGCGTGTCTTACATGACTGGAACAGGTGGTGCTGCGGCAGCTGCATTTGGACTTGCTTGGCTTCCAATGTCTTGATGGCTATGGTTAAAGTGTCTAACCAGCCTCCCAGTAGCAACAATCACGCGACACACATACATATTGAAGCCGTCGTTGATGGCGAGTTGAATTGTGTGTGCATAGTATGGTAAGGAGTCCCAGGGGACGCGAGCAGGAGAATTGGCTGCCACAATGTTGTGTGCGTCATTGAGTCCCCGTGTCTCAACAGCACTGGTCAGCTTCTCCGCGAGGTTGTCAGTTGTGTGTCTGATGGATAGACTCAGTGTCAGGATGACCGTTGATTCCATCACCCAGTCAACGTCAAAGTGGCATGTCATGGTGATGTTGATCTTCAATGGGCAGCGCAGTCCAGTCCAACAGTCACCAAAGACACAAAAATACACATGCCAATTTCATTCCACAAAATAATGCAACTTAACCTATAGACCGAAAAGCATGATCAGTCCAATTTATTTTCGGTGGCTAACTAACAGTTAACATTCCTAATAGGGAAGATATACAGTGGGGAAAAATGTTATTTAGTCAGCCACCAATTGTGCAAGTTCTCCCACTTAAAAAGATGAGAGGCCTGTAATTTTCATCATAGGTACACGTCAACTATGACAGACAAATTGAGGGGAAAAAATCCAGAAAATCACATTGTAGGATTTTTAATGAATTTATTTGCAAATTATGGTGGGAAAATAAGTATTTGGTCACCTACAAACAAGCAAGATTTCTGGGTCTCACAGACCTGTAACTTCTTCTTTAAGAGGCTCCTCTGTCCTCCACTCGTTACCTGTATTAATGGCACCTGTTTGAACTTGTTATCAGTATAAAAGACACCTGTCCACAACCTCAGTCACACTCCAAACTCCACTATGGCCAAGACCAAAGAGCTGTCAAAGGACACCAGAAACAAAATTGTAGACCTGCACCAGGCTGGGAAGACTGAATCTGCAACAGGTAAGCAGCTTGGTTTGAAGAAATCAACTGTGGGAGCAATTATTAGGAAATGGAAGACATACAAGACCACTGATAATTTCCCTCGATCTGGGGCTCCACGCAAGATCTCACCCCGTGGGGTCAAAATGATCACAAGAACGGTGAGCAAAAATCCCAGAACCACACGGGGGGACCTAGTGAATGACCTGCAGAGAGCTGGGACCAAAGTAACAAAGCCTACCATCAGTAACACACTACGCCGCCAGGGACTCAAATCCTGCAGTGCCAGACGTGTCCCCCTGCTTAAGCCAGTACATGTCCAGGCCCGTCTGAAGTTTGCTAGAGTGCATTTGGATGATCCAGAAGAGGATTGGGAGAATGTCATATGGTCAGATGAAACCAAAATATAACTTTTTGGTTAAAACTCAACTCGTTGTGTTTGGAGGACAAAGAATGCTGAGTTGCATCCAAAGAACACCATACCTACTGTGAAGCATGGGGGTGGAAACATCATGCTTTGGGGCTGTTTTTCTGCAAAGGGACCAGGACGACTGATCAGTGTAAAGGAAAGAATGAATGGGGCCATGTATCGTGAGATTTTGAGTGAAAACCTCCTTCCATCAGCAAGGGCATTGAAGATGAAACGTGCCTGGGTCTTTCAGCATGACAATGATCCCAAACACACCGCCCGGGCAACGAAGAAGTGGCTTCGTAAGAAGCATTTCAAGGTCCTGGAGTGGCCTAGCCAGTCTCCAGCTCTCAACCCCATAGAAAATCTTTGGAGGGAGTGAAAACCTTGTGAAGACTTACAGAAAACGTTTGACCTGTGTCATTGCCAACAAAGGGTATATAACAAAGTATTGAGAAACTTTTGTTATTGACCAAAAACTTATTTTCCACCATAATTTGCAAATAAATTCATTAAAAATCCTACAATGTGATTTTCTGGATTTTTTTTTCTCTCATTTTGTCTGTCATAGTTGACGTGTACCTATGATGAAAATTACAGGCCTCTCTCATCTTTTTAAGTGGGAGAACTTGCACAATTGGTGGCTGACTAAATACTTTTTTTCCCCCACTGTACAACACCTTGCAGAGAGCATATCCAACTGACAAACTCTTAGAAAACAATATAAACTATTGAAACCAAGACTTGAAAGAACTGATGTTGGCACAAGATGGGAGGGGAAGTTGGAGCATAACTAATGAAATTACAGTTAACGAAAATGTATGCTTAATTCAGTATAAACTAATCACAAATTCTACAGCCCAACGGCAGAGTCATGTTTTAAGTGTAAAACTAACAATGATTCAATAATCCATGCTTTCTGGGAATGCTATAAAGTCCAAAAGTTATGGGCGGAGCTAGGAAGTTGGCTGTCAGAAATATTACAATGTCTGTCTGCATATTTCAAGACATGGCATATGGGGATATAGTGAGATACCCAATGGGCTGGACAATTCTCTTCTCATCTTGAAAAAAACTGATATGAAATACTTGGAAATCAATTAATCCACCTTCATTAACACAATGGAAAAATCTAATGATGTATTATTGAAATAGCATCGGTGACCGAGAGAAACGAATTGGTACAATTTAAGGCCATGTGGTAAACAATAATGCAGGCACTAGGGATGGAGGTGTGAGCATGCGGGTCTGGGCAGAGGAGATGTAGTCGTTGTGTGCGTCTATAAGTTGTTGTTCGTATGTATATGTTTGTATTTGGTGTAAAAAAATAAAATAATAATAAATAAAAACAAATAATTGAACCAATGTCAGTCAATTAGTTGTTAAAAATTGAAAATGTAGTGCCTCCCAAGTGGCGCAGCGGTCTAAGATACTGCATCGCGGTGCTAGAGGCGTCACTACAGACACATGACTCGACCTTCGCATCCCGAGCCCGTTGGGGAGTTGCAGCGATGAGACGATCGAAAAATTTTGTAAAATACAACAACAACAAAAACATTTGAATGGAGTAATATCGGTTAATGGCTCAGCCCTAGCTTTGAGTGAGTACATTTGGTTCTAACTGCCAATGTTGTCCCATTCATTTCTCAGGAGAGAAGCCCTTCAGCTGTGACCAGTGTAACATGTGCTTCATCCAGAAGTACCACATGGAGCGGCACAAGAGGACCCACAGCGGAGAGAAGCCATACAGATGTGACACCTGCCAACAGGTCAGTCAGTTAGTCACAAGGGTAGCTAGGATTTACCCTCAAAGCAGATACAAATATTTTTGATTGACAACAGACCTGTGTTCAAATACTATTTAGGGTATTTCAATTATTTTCAAAGACATTTAAAAGTAAGTATTTAGAAAAATGGCATAGATTTCAAGTAGTTGAATATTGGCATGTATTTGAAAATACTCAAATACACATGTCAATACGCCATGCATTAAAACTCAGGTTTGTTTGGTCCTAGGCGTATTTCAGATAATGTATTTGGAGATAAGTATTTGAAAATGGTTTCAGCCATTTAAAGGAATTTAACTTTCAAATAGAAATAGGCTGATTTGGCCACATTTATTTGAAAGTCTCTCAAATACACAGACAATAAGTATTTAAATAACGAATACTTAAATACCCATGTACTTGAACCCAGGTCCGATTGACAATGCCAGTTCATGATGTCACACTGATGTTTGCGGTTTGTCTCAATCTAGCCTATTTGTTTGCTCAAAATATCATGGGCAATCCACACTGTTGGATGCTTGCAATGTGCTCTGTCATCAATTGTTTTGAATAGTAACGATTGGTCGAGAGGACTTTGGGTGCATCTAACAGTGGGCAAATACATTTTGTTGTCGTTGATCGATTTTCTCAATCGGGTGACTAGAAATTGTTTTCTACTGTGCGTCTCCCCCCGTTCCCCCTGTAGTTTTTCTCGAGGACGGATCGGTTACTGAAGCACAAGCGGTCCTGTGGAGAAGCCATAAAGAAGGGCCTAGACCCCAGCATGCTGCAGCTGGCCGACACGGACATGAGCCAGGGCAACTACTCACTCACTCAGGGAAATGCTACCACCACCTCTGGACGCAAGAGGGGCAAGTCCAAAAACGCAGGCGAAGGCAGCGAGCGCAAGCGTAAGAAGGCTGCGGCCGCCACTGCGTCGTCAGGGGGCCTGCAGGACTCCGACCTCGGGCCCAGCATGCAGGGCCTCACACCCAAGCTGGTGTTCAAGAAGGCCAAGAAGCACCTCCACTCCATGGAGGACGAGGGGCAGAAGCTGCTGTCTCAGAAGCAGGGCTCCATGGAGCTTGTGGGGGGCTCAGGGCTCGAGGCCATGGGCCTCCTCCAGGGCTCCTCCGGTGGGGGCATCAAGCAGGGCCTGTCAGCCACCAGCAACAACTACGATGACGCCATGCAGTTTGTGAAGAAGCGTCGCTACCTTCAACATATGGCCAACAACGACTATGGGGTGCCCTCCCTCCACATGGGCCAGTCCAGCAGTGTGATTCAGGGCTCGCTGGGCCACCACAACGAGCCCACCCTGGCCATGCTGGACGCCTTGCCCCTGGACCTCAAGCACCACGACAAGTCAGGCATCCCAGACGAGGTGCTCCAGAGCCTGCTGGACCACTACAGCCACAAGTCAGACAACACGCACCACCACCACCACAACGACGTGACCTTTGACCTCACCGACAGCAGTGGCCCGCACCACGTGGACCTGCAGCCGGCTGCGCCTGTCACCTCAGAGCTGGATGACGACTCACCCAACGGCGGCGACAAGCAGGTGGTGATGAGCGAGTACTCCAAATTCCTGCTGCAGGCCCTGGAGCGCACCAGCCACAGCGGGCCCTTCCCCACTCTGGGCCCCAGCAGGCCCTTCCCTCTGCTCTCTAGCAGCTCCAGCCCCACGGGGCCCCTCTTCCCTGACAAGCATGTCTACACTACATCCCCGCTGGAATGTGGCTACCCGTCAGCCATCTCCTCGCCGTTGCCCATCCCCGCAGTTTCCTCTTCCTTGTTGTCATCCTCTAAGTCCCACTATGGCATGCTGGTAGGCTCCCCCTCCCAGCCGGCCTTCCACCTCAGTGGCCACCAGCAGCTCACCCCCTCTCAGGAGCTTACCGAGCAGCTGGAGAAGCAGCACCACTCCCCTGGGTTCCAGCTCACACCCCAGGAGCTGACGGCTGCCGGCGGAGCCCCCAAGGAGCAGGGTGCCAAGGGCAACAGGAGCAACGGCACCAATGGCTCCGGCAACTACTCCGACCTGGATGCACCCAAGGAAGTGGACCTGCGGGCTACCTACCAGATCGAGAACTTCGCCCAGGCCTTTGGCTCCCAGTTCAAGTCGGGCCGCCATACCCCACTGGGCTACAGCGCTGACCCCAGGGCCGAGGTCGACCACCGAATACGGACTACCGTGTCAGAATTCTCAGGGTATACCAGTTTGTTAGCTGACGTCAGCGAGCCAGTTAGTACAGGATCGAAAACCGCAACAAGCCAAAGTTTCAGGTAAAGGTTAAAACTAGGTGAACCTAGTTGTGGGTGTTGTTTTTTTCTTCGTGTCCTTATACCCCTCTTCATTTTGTTCTTGTAGCAAGGGGGGGAAAAAAATGTAAACACTGCCATTTAAATGTTGATAACGAGAACTCTACCAGGGAAGGTCTTCAAGGCCTCAAATGCAATTTTTTGATATTCTCTTTTTTTAATCTGTATTTAGTCTTTATTTTGTTAGTGTAGTTGCTATGATATGAATTTAACCTAGATTTTTATGTAATTTAAAACAAAAAATTAGGGGGTAGCTATGAACTTGCTTAATTATTTTTATTTCTGTGTAAACCATTGTTTTACCAATCATCATACAGTTGTAAATTAATAATGAATGATGTTGATAATTACAATAATAATAATGAAGTTTGTCAGGGAAAGGCCCAGAATTCAAATGGCAAAAAAAAGTTATATGTTGTCTGTTACAAGAATTGTATTACTCAGGAATTAAGGCAAAATTGTGTAATAAGGAGAACTTTGTATTATGAGATGCAATTGGCACACTTTTTACAGGTGTACTTTGAAACTACAAAGCTTTGTTACTATTTATCCCTCGAGGAGGGCAGAACAAAAATACTGCAACAAATTCAATGGCTCTTCCTGTTCAGTTTTCGTCATCGAACAACCCTTTCCGCAACTTGCAGCTGTGTAGATATTATGGTACTTCTGTGTCAATGTGAAAACAACTGCTCACATTTCCTCCATAAAGGGCCACATGTAAAACACACGCTAACATTTTTACCGCTTTGCCCTCCACTCCTGGCTGTTACCTTTTTTTGTCAATGGAAATCAAACAAGCACTTTTGAAAAACTAAATCTTCATTGAAAATGAAAAACAACCTGACCCAATTAAGGATGAGCAAAACAAAGTTATTTTTATTAGAGGAGAAAATTGAACAGGGGTGGGTGGGATAGGGCGTGAGGGTGTTGAACGGGAATGACCATGGGCATTTAGATGTATTTTTGCTTTAGTCTTTTTGCGGTTTGGTCAGGTGGAGGGGTTGTACAAATTATGATATGTTATAATTGTATGTTACCCATTGTTCTGAGAGTACCTCTTTGTATTTAAGTTGTTTCGAGAGGTGCAGATATTATGCTGGAACTCCACATTTTTTTATTCCCACTGATGTACTAAGACTACTGGATGCAAAAAATCGAACTATTTTTCCTGTATTTATTCTTTAAAATATTCTCTGGTACTTTTGAGTACTTTTTAGCCAGGATTTCTCAAAGTAATGCCCACGAGCCAAAGGTGGTCCATGAAAATTGCGTACTATGTCACAAATGTGCAGATATGTGCACAATGTCATTACCCGCTCTCTCGCTATACTGTGTGTGCGTCACTCAGATGGCGAGGGGCTGAAGCTCATTTGCTGAAACTTGAATTGATAGGGGGCTGTCCCACGTGGGGGTAAATGTAAGGAAAATGGCGGTTCACAGCTTCCAGAAAAATATATTTCAAACCAGGGATTTCATGGCTAATTGAGGTAAGACAGTGATTCTGTTCATATATATTATGCATGTATGAACTACACAACGACACATCCAGCTCAAAGCTGGAGGTAAAAATAATACTTACTAGTCGCCAAAGTAGCATGTCTTTAACCAAGCAAGAGTTCATTTTTACAGAATGTTTTGAAAGTGCAAGTATTCACTGCACCTCAATCTGTCCTCACCCTATGAAATCAGGCCTGATACTAAAAAATAACCTCAGTGATACAGGCTCAACTTCACGTTATGCATCCAACCCAAAATGCTGTCTTTCAAACTTTGCGAGAAAAAACAATGGCCTTTGTCTTCTGCGGCTCAAGCCATTCTCTCTCGGCAGCCAGTGTTGATATTTTCCAACGTCTGTGAGCTCCACAGCTGATAGACTTTGAAGCTGCTCAGATCACAGGGAACAAAAGACTGACCGACCAGCTACTTCACTCCAAAACACACTCTATGCGTTTAAAGAAAAAAGAGAGCGGGAGGCTGAGAGAATCAGACGATAGGATTGACCTAAATATACCTCATATCACTGTTGAAGCGTCACAAAGCAGGGACACACGTTTCATGTATGTAGTGAAAATACTTGTAGTGTAGGTTAAACATATTGTATAATCATGTAACACCGCTTGTGTTTACAATTATAGAAGAGCAATTGACTCATTGAAGTGCAAAATGTATTATCTTTTTTTTTCACACCAAGCAGTGTTGTATTCTAGATGCCTCATAGAAATGTTAATTTCTCTTATGTTGTTATATCCCTTATTTTTGTTACTTGCCATAAATGTTTTCATATGATCTCTAGAAGGATATTGTTTACAAAAATGTACAAAAACACTAAAAATGTGTGTTCATTATTTTCGTTTTGTTTCTTCCAATATGCATGATGTGATGTTTTTGTATGGCTTTTTTCTGATTGTCACCACAACACCAAATGTTGTAGCCGACACCTCCCCATCCCTGTCCTTTTTGTTCTAGACCCTTGTGATATGATTTCCAGGGCTGTACATGTTATTGCATTTATAAACTGATTAGAGAAGCCAATAAAAACATTTGTTACAAAAAATGTACGACTGGACTTGATTGGTATAGTGAAGAGTCTAGTCTGGTTTGAACCACTAAAGACTGGCAAGAACTCACATTTTGGTGATTGGATTGACTCACAATTATCTTTTGCAGGGTTTGAATTACAGGGGTCTACGGGGAGCAGTGAACTCTACATAGAACAGGAATATCAATGTTAGCGTGATTTGAACCCTTATGTATGGCAATGTAGTATTAAAAATCTTGCTAATGTTATATTATTTCATAATTGTAATCATATTTTAAAATGCTCTCAATGCTCTATCCAAAGCAGATGCTAACATCAGTATGCTGTGAATGGTAAGTGACCTGGCATAGTCATTCTCTACACCAATGTTTCCCAACCAGGGGTACGTGGGAAGATTTTTAACAAAATCTGAAGGAAAAATTATATATTAACAAAATATATGTTAATGTTATTTCAATCTTAATAGGCAGGAAAACGTTTACTGAGGTCACTGGTATGAAATCTCTAGTTATTTTATATTTATAGGCCTCATTTTTTACTTTATTTATGGTGCGTGTGCCATGGCACTGTCATACCTGGCCTCTGCGCGCCCGCCCGTTGGATCAATGGTTTATCATCTGCTCGCGCCAAGTGCACGTGATCCTTTGCTCCGTGCGCTAGTGCCTGCTGCTGTTATCCTCACAGAAACTATGATAAGATAGCTGCTGATGCAGTGAAGGCTGTACCATTGTCAAAAAATGTAGTGTGCCGTAGGATCGATGACATGGGCGTTGATCAAGTGGTGAAAAGATAATTCTGGTCGATTTTCTATGCAGTTTGCCTGGGAGAGTGAAATGATTAATTGCCCACATGGAGGTAAATCCCACTATCATTCACAGAAAGGCATTGGCCAGCAAGAGAATCCTGAGTTACATGATGTTTTGAATGACACAGTGAAAGTAACTTTATCCAGTCTAGGCCTCTGAATTACCGACTGTATCAAAGGCTCTGTGATGACAGTGGGACTGAACACCAGCAGCTACTACTTCACACCGACGTCTGTTGACTATCCAGAGGGAAAACGCTACAGAGGCTTTTTGAACTGCGCGTCGAAGTGATTTTCTGTATGAGCACTCACACCCCTTTGTGGCTGTGTTCGAGGACAGACTGGGTAGCCCGCCTTGTCTATGTTGCTGAATCTAACTGCAAGGTAAAGACACACACATTCTAAACATGTATGACAAAGTGTGTGGATTCATGAAGAAGATCAAACTCTGGGAAAGGAACTGTGAAGATGGGGATATAAGTTGTTTCCAGCAGCTTGACACCTAACTTTCTACAGGTGATGTTGACAGAGCTCCTATGGTGCAAATAGTAAGTTCACATTTATCCAAACTCAACAGTGTGTTCAACTCCTACTTCCCTGACATTGAAAACAAGTCTGCCAAACTTGACCTATTTTCTTTTCAAATTTACACCTAATCTATGGATCACGCCGGTCGCACGCACATGTGGGGGTACTTCAGGCAGGTCAAAGTGTTTTAGGGGTACAGTACCGAAAAAAGTTTGGGAACCACTGCTCTACACCACTCGAGGTCATTCATTTAGTTATCATTTTGTTCCTCAACACAGTCAACTGTGTACCCAACCTTAAGTTTGCCAACGTTGTTCCATGTCTTGTGTTTTGGTAACACTTTACATTAAGATACCCTTTAAAGGGGTTCTTAATGGTGAAGACTGTTAAGTATCACTTAATATAAATTAGAACTTAATGAGTTAGAAACTACACTGAACAATTTTTAATGCAACATGTAAAGTGTTGTTCCCATGTTTTCCATACAAATAATTAAAAAAAAGCTTATTTCTCTCATTTTGTGCACAATTTTAGAGAGCATCTGTTAGAGTGCATTTCTCCTTTGCCAAGATAATCCATTCACCTGACAGGTGTGGCATAACAAGAAGCTGATTAAACAGCATGATCATTACACAGGCACACCTTGTTCTGGGGACAATAAAAGGCCACTCTAAAAGGTGCAGTTTTGTCACATAACACAATGCTACAGATGTCTCAAGTGTAGAGGGAGTGTGTAATTGGCATGCTGACTGCAGGAATGTCTACCAGAGCTAAGCTGTTGCCAGAGAATTTAATGTTAATTTCTCCACCATAAGCCGCATCCAAATTAATTTTAGAGAATTTTACAGTACGTCCAACCTGCCTCAAAACCGCAGACCACATGTAACCATGCCAGTCCAGGACCTCCGCATCCGGCTTTTTCATCTGCGGGATCGTCTGAGACCAGTCACTATGGGTAATTTTCTAGTACATATGTTATGAAATGATAAGGGCAAAACAGAATAAACATGATTGACACTTTTTAATCCAGATGCATGCCTGGATAGTGACTATAGTCGATACATTGTGTAACTGTCCTTTAACGTATGTATGTATA